GCTGCCATGTGGGTGCTGGGATTCGAACCCGGGTCTTCTGCAAGAACATCCGGTGTTCTTAACCGCTGAGCCTTGTTCTGCTCTCTTTCTGAGCATCCCATGCAGCAGGTGAGAGTCCTCTCTCGCTGTTCTGTTTATCTGGAAGTACAGATCTGCCTGCGCACTACTGAGCAGCCTCTCCATCGCCTTTGTGTCCCCTTCCCTCATCGCCCTCCTGGCTGTTCCTTTTTAGCATGGGTACTTTTCTGCTTTCCCTGTGTCAGCTGCTCATACTCTCTCAGCTTGATGATTTCACTCTCTTTATTCCTTAATGACAATGAAGTCCCAGACAACCCTTTTTAGGTCTTTAAAAATACTTTTATTGAATTTTTGTGTATTTCATACACAACATCTTAATCATCTTTATATCCCCTTCCCCATCGGCACCTTCCATTAAAATTCTGTGGAAAGAACACCAGGCTCCAACATTAGCTGAAGAACTATTGGCAGCTGATTACTGCTGGGTAAGGAAAAGCTAATCTTCGTTAAGGGAGGGACTCTAAATAGGCTGGCTAGACCCCAGTGGATGAACTCGCACTGAGGGATGTCACGGGACACTAACTTGACTCAATAGGCCTTAACATAAATGTCAGAATACAGAAAATTCCACAGTTCTGTGCTGGGTTTTTGTCTGCTTGAGTTTGCATGGGTCTTGTGCATGCTGACACCATTGTTCTGAAAACTTTTCCTGCAGCTATTTGAAGAACATTTTAGACACCCCCTCTCAAAGTTTCAGTATAATTTAAAGATGGGAAAAAAATCTTGCAGAATTTCAGTGGAACTACTTGTGATTCCATATCTATTATTTGTCTTGGGCCACTGCCTCCCAGTGGCACTGCCAACATTCAACAGATTATTTATAACTAATTGGAAGTATTGGTACATTTATATTAAGCCAGGCATGGTAGCACACATACTTGTAGGCCCAGATACTTAGGAGGCTTAAGCAGGAGGCTTTCTGGAGCCTAGGAGGTAAAGGCCAGTCTGGGGACCGTAGAAGACCCTGTCTCAAAACCAAAGCAAAACAAAAAAACCAACCTCAAGCATATTACTTAAATAAGGTAATTATGACATCTATCATTAAGGGTAATAGAAACCAACTACATGTTGAAGACTTTTAATATGATAAAAAGTATTATTTAACTTGACAAGTTAAGTAATGTCCTATTTGAAGTAACAGTAAATCACAGTTTTAAGTGCCAGGCACCACAGTTTCGTGTTGCTCATAAACTTTATTTAGAGGATATAGAATATGGCTCTCTGCTCACTGTCAGGCTTCATGGGTGAAATTTAGTTCCCTAACCAATCAGGGTAAAGGATCTCCAGCACCTGAACTGTGCAGTGGGCTACAGCCACATTGCTGTGGTTCCCCCTCTGCCTGTATTAGCAATGTGCTTTTGTACTTTGACATCTAGGATTTCCCAAGTGAATTTTGTCACAGAAAAAAGAGAATCATCAATATCGCAGTTAAACTTGACTTTCAAAGCTAATAGTATCTCATTTGGGGGCTCAAATTTAATAAATTTTCTTTGATTCTGGGTGAGTTTTTAAACATCAAACAATGAATTGGCCAGGGTGCAGTAAAATATTTAGATCTATTGACTATGGTTCAGAAGGGTAGAAGGCAAAACACTAGTGGTTTGATGTTGATAAATTCTCAGTACCTTAATCCACATTAATGTTTTCTTTTATCTGAGTGCACATTGGTGACAAAAAAAAAGCAAGAGGGAAAGTCTCCATACAGAAAAAGTGCAACCTGAACTATTTATATTTCTAAATTATGTTTTATTTTATTATGCTAAGTAAGTTTAGCAATATTTTTATTGTGACAGAAGACTGGGAAATATTTGTTAGTGATAAACCATGCACTCTGCATTAGGATTCCAGAGTGCATACAGTGCTCATAGTTCTGTGAACACTGCATCTTAGCATGTTTGCAGCCCTACTCTTTGACATTAACTTGTTGATGGAAAACCTTGAGATTAACTTAGGAAATGCAAGGATTCTTATACTCGTGTTTTAACATGGATGATTAGAAATGTCTTTGTGTGTTTATGGGTGTTTGATGGCTGAAGGAAATCCTATAGAGTGTGACAGTTCATGGGATGTTTATTTCCCCCCTGACTCATTTATATAGTAATAAATAATTTTTAACAGTAGAATTGAAAGTAGGAGACTCTCTTTGATTGATTGAGTGATTCAGGGTCTCAATGTTTATTCCAGGCGGGTCTTCGATTTGCTGTGTAGCCCAAGCTGGCCTGGAACTTGTGATCCTCTTGGCTTAGCCTTTTGCATGCTGGGATTGTAAATATGAACTACCATGTTACAGCTGAAATTGTTCAGATAAAACAGGAAATATAAATAGACTTATTTTTGGCAATTAATGTCATTTTTATATTAATTGCAATCCTTGACATTTGCTTCTTCCTAAAAATCTGTATCTCGTGGCTATGAGGTTTTGTGTGTGTGTGTGTGTGTGTGTGTGTGTGTGTTGTATGTATGTGTATGTGTTTGTGTGTGCTCATGAACACCTGTGTTTGCATAGGGATATGGAAACCAGAGATCGGTATTGCTGTCTCTTCCTCTGCTGCTCTCTACCTTATTTTTTGGGTCAGAATTTCTCATTGAACTGGATGCTCATAGATTGGCTAGACTGACTGGCCAGAGAGCTCCAGGCATCCACTTGTTTCCACCCCCAGTGTTGTGCCTGGATTGTACATGGATGATGGGTGTTGTAGGTACAAACTCAGGTTCTCATTCTTGTGTGACAAGCGCTTTACCCACTGAGCCATCTCCCCCCAAACCCTGCAATGTAGCTTTAAAATATTTATCAAACATCTGGTAGCAAAGAACTAAAAATTTAAGGCCCACCCAAGCATAAGAAAAGTTAGAAGATATGTCTATGTAAAAATTCAACCATGTGAATAAGAGCAAGAACCTGATTATCTTCAATGCAAACTAGACTGTAGAATTCTTAAGGCTTTTACTAGGTTTGGAGATCAAAACCCCAAATACCTGTTTGTAGGTTTCTGTTTGCTATGTATTTGCTGATTTGTCCAGAAGGTGGCAGTGTAATATCAACTGCCTATGGTAGCTCTGAATTAGAATTCCATCTGGGATGTGCTTGTATTGTTACCTTTCTGAATATTTAAACCATAGTACAAATGCTACTGATTTCATTTCAATTTATTTTATTTAGGAGTTTTCTGGTCAAACTGCTTTATATGTATTTTATTGCTAAGACTCAAGTTTAACTAAGTCCTACAATTTTAGAAGACTAAGAAGGTAAAGCAAACCTCTTACTTGTATTTTTAAAGTATCCTTTTGTGTTGAGTGTATTTGCTCTTGTTCCAGGGTCCATATTAGTGAAGTTTTCTCTTCAAAAACTAGTACATAGTAACTACTGTGTATAACATATGTGACCAAATGTCAGTTAAGAACATTTTTCAGAAGGTGATAATACTTAGGGGACTGCTGTTTGTTTTTTGATTTCCTGATCCTTCCCTCCCCTTCATTCCTTTTCTTTTCAGGGTAGAACTGTGAAAAATAATTCAAAACCTCCTGATCAGAAGAGCTGCAGTGGACTTCTTCCCTCTTTCATTTCAAGCAGGAGGATGCTTTTTCTTCTTAACATTCTCCCCCAGCACTCTGAATTAGAGATTTATTTGCAACAAAAAATCAATTAGTCCTAAATTTATTCATGGATTTCAGGTCCAGCGATCAATGCAAGTCCACTCAGTGGGCTCAAGGGGACCCAGTTCATCCCAGTTAATGTGTCTGAAGGGGAATTACCATTGATGCTGTTTTTTTCCCTTTAGGTCAGAGATCAGATCTCGCTGTCACGGACTGCAGCAAGTAGGAATGACTTCACCCTGCAGCTACCCAAACTGCACCTGGAGACCTTTGCAATGGAGGGGCTCAAGGGTGGGCCAGAGGTTGTAGCATGCCAGGTTAGAGCCTAAATAACATTGTTTGCTACTGAGACGTATAGAAAAATAAATTGCACTAACTGGAGAGAATGAAAGCCTCAAAGTGTTGTGAATAATTTAAAGGAGATGCAAATAAATTTTTTCTATCATGTAGCATAAAAATGTGTTTCTTTAAAGCCTAGAACTAGCCTATTAAAATAATACAGAAAAGCGTTTCTACAAAAGCAAGTGTGTGCTTATGCCAAAGTGCAGTGTTAAAACAACTACTTCCCTTTCAGTGGAGGATAGGAAGACATTTGAGCTAATCTCTGTTTGTTGCTTTTTAATAAATCACTTTACATAAAAGGTGTTAAGAGAGATATATGAAAAATTTCAGTGTTAATTCCAAAATATATCCAGTATTTCTCATGTGATTATTTAATTTCAGAAAGCTATAGCATAACTGTATTTTACATTAAAGAGTAAAGGGTGAAGCTTTAATACTTAGTTTTATTGAGCTTTGTAATATGATGAACAGACTGGGCCATTGTTGTTTTGTAAAGCTCAAAGCATCAAATCATAAAATCGTGGATAACTTTAGACTATTAAGTTTATAAGGTATTTTCAGAAACATTCCTTTTCAAATGTCGTAGATCTCCTGTTCCGTCATGACTGTATTTTTGTGATCATTCTTCTCTTTGCAGTTCAAATTATTTTTTAAATTGAATAAGACAAAATTCATCACATGCTTTATTTTCATTTTAATTTCCAAAGCATTGTGTAAATTGTAGAATGCCTGACATGGCAAGAGATCAGCCTTATTCAATAGCTTTCTAAACTGTCCAGTATATTTAACAGAAATGTCTTTTAAAACTCACTTTGCTTCCTTCTTAGAAGTTTAAAATAACCTTTCCTTTCCTCAATTTATGACCTTGTGGAATTTTAATTTTGTAAAAAATAAATGTTAGTTTATGATCTTTGATTTTTTTTACATGGTCTGTGTTGTAATGTAATGTGTTATTAGTTACCAAATTATTCTCTGCAAAGGAAAAGCATATGCTCACTGCTGCTTGTGTTAGGTTGCCCATCAGTATATTTAAAATATAACTACATAACTAAGCATGAAGTATTAATTTTCTTATATTGGCTTATATGATTAAAATGTATCTCTAAAATTTGGTAATTAATATTTATCAGTTGTAACCATGAACACAATATGATTTGAGATTTTTCTAGTGAATGTGAACTAATCCTTTATTTGGAGAACTTGGTTTATTCTCAGAAGCTTAGCACTTGTTGTAATTCACAAAGATTTTCCCCAAACTGGATTTTACAGATATATAAATATGCTGATTATTAGGAATGCTATTTTTGGGATGAAAGCATGAATTATCCATGGTTCTGATGTCTATGAGTAGCAAGAAGGAAATGTAAGAGACTCATAGTTTAAATTGGAGTCTTCTGCAAAAAATAGTTATACACATAAGCACACACCTAAATGCCTGGCTGGGTAAGTTTTCTGATGACATCCCATAGGATGCAATGTATTTTAGTAATGTCCATGGTGGAAAGTTAGGAGGATGGAAAAGCTGCTGCTGCTGCTCATCATGGAGGTGCTGTTTGAGTGAACACTTCCTACACACCAGATACAATGCTTAGCTCTGTGAATAGGTCAACTCATTCGGTTCTCATAATGGGACCATCAAACAAATGGCAGTGTCTCCATTTTAAAATCAGGAAGCAATGAGCACCAACAGGTAATTCTCCTCAAATCAATGGCAAGTAGATGATAGAACATGGATTTAGGTATCAAAGTAGTTGACTGCAAAGCTACACTAGCAAACCTGACACCAAGGAATTTAGACAGCCTAAGTTAAGTGAGGAGAGTGAAACCGTGGAAAGTTGTAAGACAGTGTTTATTCCACTGATAAGATATTAATTGTATGTTTATGTATGATGTAGGTCATACTTTATACTGTGCTGCAGACAAATTCACAGATAGAAGTGTTTCCATTTCATAGCCAAAGAGAATGAGAATGTGCACTTTTCACTTTTACAGAACCAAGTGCATGTATTAAGTGTGCATACACATTTTTAGGAATTTAGTATTTTAAGACTTTTTAACTGTCACATAGTAATTATATATGCTTATGGAGTATGATATTTTCATGCATATATGCAATGTAGGATGACCAAATAAGGGCAGTTAGCATACAGATCACCTCAGACATTTACCATTTGTGTTGGGAATGTTCAAAGTCCTTTCTGCTAGCTGTTTAAATATATAATAAACTGTTGTTGGTCTGTTCACTTCACTGTGCCGCACATCACTGGCCTTTATGCCTCTTAACTTCCCAAGCTCTGGTAATGATTACCTAGTCTCTACTTCTGTCAAATCATCTCATTTAGATTCCTCATATAGACGAGAACATATGGCATTTGTCTTTCTGGGCCTGACTTATTTCACTTAACATAGTAACCTCCCAGTTTGTCTGTCTTGCTAGGATATTAATCTTTTTTTTTTAATTAATGAATACTATTGTTGACAGGATATTACTCTTTTCATTGGTGAATAATATTCCACTGTGCATATATGCCACATTTTCTTTATCCATTCATTTCCTGTTGGATCCCTAGGTTGATTTCGTATCTTTGCTTTTGTGAATAGTGCTAAAAAATATGAGTGTAGAGATATTTTTTGACATACTGATGTGGGAATGCTAGCTTTTTCTCCTAATTGCTTACTTACAAAATATAGGATGCAGCCCGGTTTTGAGACTTGTGGTAGGAATGACTGAGGCAGTGAATGTACAGTAGAGAGCAAAGAGGAAACTGGAGGGCCGGCTGACGGTAGCGTTCGCTTCATGTGAGGGGAGGCTGTGGCGAGAGCGTGTTCTCACCACTTTTTAGGTGTTCTATTTCAAGGAATGATTATTTATGATTCTTCATATTCTTCAATTGTTTCTTTAAATGCTATCTACTCTAGCTTCCTATTTACTTTTTTTGCCACATGATTCCCCGGGGAGGTCATGCCCACAGTGTAGTCTTTTGTGTAAGCTCCTATGACAAGCTTAAAACTGTTTTTATGTTCCAATTAATAGCCTTTCAAAGGCTTTCACTGTAAGGCAGAAAAATTAAAGCACTCACATTGAAGCTTTAACTCCAGAGGCTGTGAACACAGAGCACTTTGAAATAAAGCATTCTGCCCATACTTTGTAAGGGTAAAACCTGTTTTTCACCATCTTATCATTTGAAGTATGTTTTTAAAATAATTATGATCTGTAATGTTGGTAATACTGACAAATATTGACAAGTGACCAATAAATATTCATATTTATTCTCATTCAATAATAAGAAACAGATAAACATTAAGCACCATCAGTAGCTAATAGTTTGTTAAATGTTTACTCCGTGCTTAAGCACCTGGCATTACAATCTCCTGGAATCCTTTCATGCTCTGTTCTTGTTCCATTTTTACTTTTCTCTGTCTTGGGGATAACCAAATACCCAGGAGCAACTTGTTCTGTCTCACAAAGGACTAAACTGAAGTTCACTGAGGCGAAGTAGGATGCTAACGGACTGCATATCCAATGAGCAGCATAGCCAGTCTGCCTGTGCTTTTAATCGTGCCTTTTGCCTTCTGTAAAGCATGGCTTGCTAGTTTTTGTTTGTTTTCTAAGATGGCAAAAGGGCAAAAGTAGGGTATTTCTATAGAATATAATTTCACTTGTGTAGAAATAATAGGAAAATAGAAATTCAAAAGAGGTTCACTGAGTAAGTTACACTAACGTGTATTTTTTTGCCTCTTCTTCTATAAAAAGAAAATAATACAAGTTCCCAACTCACAGTATTAGAGTGATGATTAAATGGGCTAACCCACTGCAAGTGCTAGATAATGACAGATACATTATAAACGCAAAGTATTTGTTAGCGCTCTACTAACATTGAAAGGTCAGGACCTTGGCCTTGTCCACTGCTGCACCCTCAGAGCTCAGAGCAGAGGAGGCTTTCAGTAGATATGGGTGAGTACTTGATTGCGTATATATGGGTGAGTACTTGATTTCAGATGGTTGGCAAAATTACTTCAGAAGCAGCTGTTTCTAAGTTGTGCATGCTTGTAAGGAACCCAGTGCTCATTTTTTACTTTGAGGCTCACATCATTTCAAAGCTAAAACCTCCCCAAACCATCTCATAGAAGTGTTTAAGACTTGGTGCATGAGAACTATATCTCTGGAAATGTAATATATTTCACAAATATTTATTTATAAATAGTTCACTAGCAAGTGTTCATTTTGAAATGACTTATTTATGAAGGTTTTAAACAACACAGTCTTCCCTGTAAATATGGTAATCCTTTATTCTGTCCTAACCCATAATGTCTTTGCACAGTCCTTACTTGGAATGTTTTTGTTATGTGCTATACTCAGTGACTTTCAGAATACCATGGTTTTTACATTTATATTTATTATTATTAGGTGTATCAAATTCTTGTATATAAAATTTGATGAGTACATTTAGTGATGCTTTTCTGTACACATGTTTAGGATTGAGCACTTGGGACTGGTTAAGCTGTCAGGAGCTCATCTCTAGGGCTATTTTTGTTTTGATAATGATGAATCATAAAAAGCACCATGAAGGGAAATTTTTATTTTTATTTTTTTATTTCTAGAGGATAAAATAAATGATATCAGAACCTAAACTGTCAGAGCATAAAATACCAAGAATTATCCATCATAAATTGTCCATGTGCTTTTTCTACATGCTTAGGGCAGCAGCCTTCTAATTGCTCTGCAAGAAATTTCAAAATTTTTGGCATACTTAGAAATTAAGAGATGTTGGGCAATTTCATTTATAAGAAACTTTGTACCATTTTAATATTTTCTTCTTTGTGTCATCCCATCTGCATACATGAATTTTCAGAGAACTGATTATCTTTCTAAACATGAAAATGAGTCATTTTGAATGAAAATCTTGTTAAATATAGCAAGTTCTATTTTATTTTTTAAATAAAAAGAATATATCTGATTAAATTTATTACTGAT